TTTGCTGTGTGTGAGCCATGCAGGCTCGGTCGGGGCAAATGCAGGAGGGTGTGCATGGATGACGAGAAGATTCAAGGCAAGTGCAAGCTCAACTTCTTCTGTTGTCGGCAGAGGCTCTGATACACCGACCGACACTCTTTTGGCCTGAGTGTGAAACTGAACAGCTGTTCAAGGAAGGTCAAAAGAAGCTCTGTGACTTAAATGGGTCATGACGGGTGCTAGTCTCACCTTGTTTTTGTTTCTTTGCTTCATTTCAATTTTAAGGTGACAAGAATCAAGACATGAGTAACTGCCTAATGCCTACTTGATCAGATAGAACTGTGTATTTGCAGAAGACTTACAACTTAAAACCCTTTGTCCAGAATTTTCTCATATGACTCGAGATTTCTTGTGAGAGAGACTTTGCCATTCTTATTTGAATTTGAAGAAACTGAGATCTAGGGAGATTTTTACCTATGTAAACACTGAGAACCCAGAGCAAGGAATAATGTGCAGGCCACCGTCATTTTCTGTATGTCTAATACACTAATTCTTATGCAATTCACAAATAAATGAAAATGACAATCACCTCTGTGTTAATGGAATGATTCTACAGGATGCAAAAATGTTTTGTTTATTTCATTTCTTATAAGATAATGCATTTGTTATCCATTCATTCTAATAATTATGTAGATTTTTGAATTTTTAGGAATTTCATACATGAGTATTATATCTGTTATTCCACCCTTCCAGCTCCTCCCGTGCCCTGTCCACAATCTCTTGTCCCCTTTTTGTTATTGCTAGTATACTCCCACTGCTCAGTGCCTAGAGCACCAGCTCTGCGTTTTTCTTCACGCCTGTGAAAGAAAATGACTAGAGAATAAGTGAAAGTGTTCAGCACAGAATATGCTGAACTGTATAATTTTTGCCTTCTGAAATAAAATTTGCAGCTTCAAAAAATAAATGTCAGAACTATCAGTCAAAGGACTCAATATTGACATCTCCTGGGAGATGTGAACCTGAACACTGTGCCTAGCATATTTTGTGCTCTGACTTCCCTTCTTCCCCTCTTGTGTCTGTGACATTGGACTTCTTCCCTGCAAAGGGCATTCACCAGGCTTCTGACATCTGAATGACTTCAGTCAGTGTAAGAGTCTGAAAGGAAAATGAGAGATGGGGAAAAAATCAGGATATTTCTCCCCAGCAGCTTCATCTCCTATATTAAAGCTCCTGCTTGTCTGTAAACTCTCGCCTGGTGTCCTCATGGGAGGTATGGCTCCCAATAGAGCCTGGTCCTACGCTCCACCCAAACCTTCCCATAATTCTTCAAGCTAAGGGATTCCACCTCTGCCTGTCAGTAGGATTGTCTCACTGTCTTCTCTATTTTCCCTTTTAAGCTTTTCCAACACTTCATCATCTACTGTCTCTATTGTATTTTGTATTCTTTTTGTGGAGCTCATAATGGGATGCCTTCTCATGCCTAGACACCCATACAAAGTTCAGGTTGTCCTTTCTCAGATCTATCTCCATTTAATCAGTTGAGCTTCAAGGCATATCTTAAATTTAACTCTTATGAAGCCTAGTGTTTCTTTTATTTACACAGAAATTGGGAACTAGAAAAAGCAGTGACTACTTTTAATAGTTTAGAACAGAGAAATAATCTGAGCATGTTCCCCCTCCCCGTCTCCACAGGGAGGGGGACGCTCATGACTGGCACAGCATTATGAAGCTGGGGTGCTTTGGCCCATTCTAAACACACCGTGTTTAAGAACTGGAATAAGAAAATTACTTATCCAAGCACTGTTGAAATT